CTGAATATAGTTTTAGCTTAAAAGCAATTTATCACTTGTGAACTTTCCCTCGTCTGAATGTGGCACTAATATTACAACCATTAAATTTTCGAATAAAACTTCGAAATTTTTACAGAAGTCAAAGTCTTAGTACTAATACTACTCACAATTTTTTTCTCTTTTTATTGAAACATACTCAATGACTGCTGGTCTTTTTCTCCTCTTTCCTCACTACGAATGGAAATCGTGAAATCTTGACTCAAAACTTACACTAACTATATTTTTCTTTAAAAAATATCTAATGCATTTCAAACAAAATATTGAATATGAAATCTAATTTACCTGTATCCGAAATAGCTGACACCGATACACTTGGTGATTGTTGTTCTAAAATGAAATTATTCAATGAACTTTATTTATTTATTGAATATTATTTACCATTTGAAAATGTTGGAATTAATGATGCAAGAACTAAATTATAAATATTTATAATTTGTTATTACTAGACGATATTTTTTTACCTGATTGTGGACTTTTCGAAGCGAAAAGTGAAGCCGATATTGATTGTAATGGTAGAGGTGGAGGATGTATTGATGGTGGTTGAGATGTAACCGGAAGAACAGGAAGTGTTGGTGGAGGTTGTTCCACGGGTGCTTCAAAACGTTGAATTTGTAATATATAAGAATCAGCTAGAATTAAAAAAAACAATACATCAAATTGATCAAATAAAAATATTTCTATCATAATGAATATACCAGTCGGAACAGGATTCCATGATACTTCCAAATTTCCGATGCCTGCTTTAAGTAATTGCACTTTTTCTGGTTCACCTGGACATGCTGTTTCTAAACACCATAAATCTTTACAACAAACCTATGCAGAAATTTTTTTTTAAGTTTCAAATCATAAATCAAATTCATTTTTATCTACTTGATTATTCCAAGCTTTTCTATATCCATCACGTCCACTCCAAATATACATTCTTGTATTAACAGCAACAGCACAATGACCAGCACGTGCTCGCGGCACATTATCATCAAGACATTCTTGTCCAAGAAGTTCCCAAGCATTTGTTTCTAATAGAAGAGAAGAAAATAAAAACAATCTATTCAATTTCGATTAAGAAAATATTCTTTTTTTACCTAAATTAAAAGCTGCTAATGTATTCGTACATTTCCATTCCTTTTCATTGGCATATTGATCATTTTTATCCGATATAATCAATGGAACCCAACCGCCAAATATAAACATTCTAATAAAAAAAAAAAAGAATAAAAATAAAAATAAATATGTAATAAAAAATCAATTCACCGATTTCCCATAACAACAGCTGAATGAAGACTACGTGGTTGTGGAGCCAAACCAGATGGTGTTATTTGTGTCCATTGTGAAAAATCTACTTTCATAAATATATATATATTCATTGAATTTTTTATTCCTACCAAGATGAAAACTCCAAAGATCTCCTAAACGATGACCATTCATGCCACCATAGATAATTAATTTTGGTCGATTCTCAATTTGACCACGATAAAAAACACATGAATGGGATTCACGTTCACTTGGTGGTGTACTACGAACAATAGGTTGTTCCCAAGCACAATTATTACCTTTATATTCAAGTGCATAGAGATCATTTAAATATCTAAAACTATTATCTAAGCAAATTTTTGTTTGATTTTTTTATTCATATCTTACCGTGGAACATTCTGTTTTGGATCTTTGCTATCATTAGCTAAACCACCAAATAAATAATATTTTCCTTCAGCATATGTTAATGTATGTCCTAAAATATATATAATAAATGATGAAAACAAACAGAAAAATCGTATGTATAACATTTACCAAGTCGAGCACATGGTAAAGGAGCTGTTCGAGGTGCTCGAGGTTTTAATTTTTTCCATTCCCATTTAATTGGATTTAATTCCCAGAGATCAGCTGAATATTTTCCATATTCAACCATACCACCAAAGACAAGAATTCGTTGACCATCAGTTGCAAAACCAAAAGCAGCACAACCTGTTGGTACATCACCTTTCATTAATGGTTGAAACCATTGATTTGTAGCTTAAATAAATAAAGAAAATGTATTGAAAAATTTGTAAAAATTCAATATTCTATGTGTTTCAATAAACTTACCACAATTATAAACATTAAGATCTTCAACAATGCCTTCATTACCACCACCAAATATAATAATTAGATCTTTGACAGCTACTGCTCGATGACCATGACGTGGTTTGGGATTTTGGCCGATGGTTCCATCAAGCCGTTTCCATTGAACTTTTGTTGTCATCTCATCGGCATTAATTTTATTGATCGATTGACCGGAAGTTAAGACACAAAAAGAAGAATAATGAATGAACAAATGTAAGATATACAGACAGAGAGATAGCCACTAGTCAATAGCCATGATGATAATTAGGAGATAGATGCCTCTATCAAGACTTTTTTGACAGTTGAAAAAAATTTTATACAAATAATTAAACTTCTTATTGAATCAAATTTTAAAAAGTTATTTATTAAATACAATTATTAAGCATACATCTAACAACACACTTATGCATTTTCTGGTATCAGCCACCTTTTTCTTGCTATATGGAGGCGTTTCCATAGTTACTTACAATGAAGATGGTTGCTATACTCAATCAAATTTCAATATTGGATTGATATTAGTAATATCTAGGGTGTCTCAACCTAGAGGAGACGTATCAGAAGGGTGACTCTCCTGATCCTTAGAAGTATATTCTAACTAATATTTTCTGAGGACGAAAAGTGGGTTTTTTCAGTTTTTTTCATGGTATAGCACAGCGCATGAAGATGAGAGTAGCTGATTTTGTTGAAGAAAATAACACCTAGTCTTCAAGATGACTCAATGTATTTTCTTAACGGAAAAATAATAAATTTAACTTGTTCCTTTTTGTTTTTTCAGAAAATGTAACTTTTTTCTTGTATTTTACAATGTGTCATTGGTTACATTAGGAAAAAATATTTTTTTTTAGATTTCTATGAGAAACGCTATATCCTATCATGTTCAGTATATTGAAAAGAATCAAAATGAAATGAAGCGAATTTTTTCAGTGTCTGATTTCTATGAATTGAGAATATTGAAATCGTAATAGTTGTCTCGATTTTGCACTCGTAAATTGAACGATTTTTTCATACACACTATTTTATCGTACAGATGTTATCATACAATTTTAAAAATATCATTAAGTAGTTTACTAGAAAATCGAGCTAGGTAGAACTTAGTTCTCATCCTCTATTAACACTCTACGCTGGCCTCCGATTGTGAATTTTTAAAAAAATAGGAATCCTTAGAGGATCAAGTTTGTCTAAAATATAGGATTTCTGATAAAAAATGACAAAAATATAGGATTTATTATATATTGTTTCTGCTCAATTTTTCTGCTTTTGTTAATTTCTTCACTTAATATCTTTCTAATGAAAGAAGCAAGAATAGGAGGCTCACCATCAGGATTCTTATCTGATTCATTTCTACTGAAATGAATAGTTAAATCAAATATCTTTAGTAACTTTAGTTAAAGTTTTAGAACCTTTTTCACTTATCAATAAATAATGAAAAAAAGGAGACCATAAACTTTGGAAGGATAAAACGAAAAAAACTCAAATAATATTTGTCATGTTTAAAAGACTGGGAACCTTTTCTTAACAATTCGGCCCAATTAGAAGCTGAAGTTACATCCATGTGAAACTTTTAGCAAACATTCAACACAATGATAGTAATCATTCTTGAAATTTTCAGTTGAATTGGTTAAACTTTCCCTTGATTTCGCAACTTCTCAATTTCGGCATTTTTCAGAAGAGCCAGAGACTACAATATTAAGATAGTTTCTCAGTTATTTAATATACCATTCGGTACAGCATTAAATTCAAAGTAAAGTCGTATGAAAGTCACAAATGATAGATCAACATTTCTTTAAAAAAAAGACACATCCTCATGCAAAGGTCATATTACTCTACTACGAAATCTCTGGAACCTTTTGTTCTCTTAAGTTTGATTCAGGTCCAACGCTATTTTTCTAGGAACATTAGCAATTAATAGGTGCTACAATATTACAAACACAATAGGATGAAAAACTCTGTCCTCGTCTTATCATAACGAACACAGTCCATAAAATTTAGAAAAAAATACTAAACCACGAAAATTGTCGCCCGGCCTCGCCCAATAAAGACTTAATTTTTTTTCGTGCAGGAAAATAGAAAAGATCTAACTTAATTTGATTTGTTTTCAACTGAAAAATCCTTTTTAAGTGACACTAATTGAATACAATATAGGTCTAATTTTCCAAATTCTAAAGATAAATTTTAATTCTTTTATGTGTTTCTTAATCAATTTTCGAAAAATAGTGCCAAGTGGAAAGCTTATGCTGATGGAACATAAAAGGCGAAAATCAGTTAAAACCAATCTTGAAAACTAAAAACCACTAGCGCATTCAGTACTGAACAACACTATTTAAAAATGTCATCGTAATGTACGAGTTTGTGCAAAACATATGGCCACACACTATATATGTTGTTCAACGTCTGAACACTATACTAGAACAAAAACAAAACTTACAGTTTTTCGAAAATTTTCTCCTTTTTTCGATAAAATATCGGCAAAATAGGAATTTTTATTGAAATATAGAACAAAAATAGGACTTTTTCAAAAATATAGGAATTGTAGGAAATGTAGGTCGAATGGCAGTCAAGGTTGTTGTCTATCACCATATCACTCCGGTTCGTTGTCTTAAATATTGAATAAAGTGGATTTGATTTTGCATTATTTACACATGGATCTTCTAATATATCATTTATTACTTTCATGTCATTTCCCATTTGCGTTTCATAATAAAGTTGAAGATGATGGGAGACCTGAAATATTGCATAATGAATTGATGCTGAAACAGATATGGATTTTGTACATCGAACATCAATACGACATAGATAATATCTATTCAAAATTTCGAAACAAAACAACATAAGAATTTCTATTCTTTTGTTTTTCAAAATTAAAACTAATACGTTAATTGTTGAATATCATCTGATATAAAGGCGATTTCGTTATCTAATACTTGATAAAACATTGGTAATGATGTACCTTGAATAGTTGCATGAGAATTAAGATAAAACTCAAAACCATTTGGTGAAACAATATTGGTATCAATAACTGTTCCTACAATCAGCAAAAACAAATATTCAAACAACGAAATCAAATAAAATCCAGTTAACCCGGTTCAATATTATTTGCTTGATTATATTGTTCATCTCATGTAAAAAAAAAGTGCACGATGACGTTTTTTAATAAGAACAAAACAAATTTGAGGTATTTGATTATAACCATATAATTCTATGGAAAAAAGAATTTATTTATTTGATTCGGTCTTTGAATAATCATATTTACCTTGACATGCTCGTTGAATAGCTTGTAATTCATTATCAAGCACTTTTTGAAACGATTCATCATCAGGACCAATTGAATAAAAAATAAGTTTATTCGGTAAATGTGAATTATGATTTGAAAATACACGTATTAAATTACCAATATAAATATGAAGAGTTTTGATGAATGCAAATGCTATTTTTCCTTCTGTTGAGAATTCTTTTTAAAACACAACCATAATATTGTGTATTTGTAGAATCTTTTGATCCAGTAATGGCAACTATGGATGAGCGTTCATGTGAACATGTTATCTAACTACAATCAATACCAAAAAACATAAATATATCAGATCGAGCTGATGGTGATGTTAATGCATGCATTCAGGGCTGTGGCGAAGGGTTAAAGATTGGGGGGGGTTGAAAAATTTTTCGAATATTTGTCAAAAACTTCTATAAATTATCGGCATCTTGAAAAAAATTTTGGAAATTTTTCGCAAATTTTTCAAGATTTTTGAAAATTTTTGGTGAGTTTTTGAAAGTTTTTCGAAATTTTTTGAAAATTTTCGAAGATTTTTAGAAATTTTTGAAAATTTTTGAAGAATTTTTGAAAATTTTTCGAAAATTCTTCTGAAATTTTTGAGAATTTAATAAGAATTTTTAAAAACCATCAAGCAAAAAAACAAAATTTCCGAAGATTGGGGGGGGGGGACCCCCCCCCCCCCCCCCCCCCCCGGTCACGACAGCCCTGCATGCATTAATGATACAGATTGATTAACACTACCTAATTTTGCATTGAATTTTTGAACCAAATTCTTTGAAGGAATTTGCTTATTAGAATTTTAAAAAAGTCAAATGAAAAGAAGTTACTTGCGTATGTATATCCATTTTCCGAGGATCACTATTGGACATAAGTCGATTGAAAGGTATACATTGAGTTACCATACGTTAAAAATAACTCTTGTTCATAATCAATCTTTTACTTTCTGTTTGACATGATACTCTTATGTACTCCTTTTTTTGAAATTTGTTCCGCGACTCTCTATAATTTTATTTCTCAGTTCAAATATCTCTGTCGAGAGTCATATCTTCACACTTTGGAAAAACACTGAGATATAAAAATAAACCATAGATTTTAGACAACTATCTTATGTATTCGTGTGCTTATTTGACAAGAACAGTAATTGTTTCATGTATATAATACAAATAAATCTTACCATTTTTCAGATTTCCAAAAAATTAAATCAGATGATAAATGTCATCTTCAACTTGATGAAGTATATAAAGAATAACTTCACATCCTTGTATTTTAAGTTCATTCATACAAGCTAATATTGTTTGTGGCACAGCTGCATCAGATTTTTCGATAGATGGTGAATTAAATCGAATACCATATTTCGACGTAACCTTTAATAAAAGAACAACAAGTTATTTTTTTATTGATGACTAAAAAACTCAATTAAAACCTGTAGAATTCTATTAGTGAAATCTCTTTCTAAACGAATTTGTCGATTATCTGGTTCATGTGGACTAATATATACAACAGCCCATGTACATATTTCATGTGTTTTATTCAAACGATTATTTAACCATCATTTACCAATTTCTACTGGTTCAATAACATCAACATCTTAGTCATCATGTGATAATTTATTCTTGATTTTTGGCGGTGATAATACTCGAGCTGGTAGCATTAACATTTCATTAACATCAACGGTAAGACCAAATTTTTCTAAATATGAATTATGATTAAATCGGCATTCATCAACAACACGCCGAATCATTCTATAACATTCATCAGGATGAACAACAGTTTTGTTTGTTGCTTTAGCATGTTATTCACTTGTGAATGGTTGTAAATTTGGTTGCCCTTCATATACATTAACTAATTCCATTAGTAAAAAATATGATTGGTTTTTATCGTTTTCATATCATACAGTTCAACAACAGGTAAATGTGTGTAATATAAACAAATATTCCATGTATCATGAAAGTAATCAACAACTGTAATATGTTCACTTTCATTTTTAGTATATTTATGTTCATTTACTGGACAGCCAAATGATTTTAAACGATATCGATGAACTTTCTCTGTATATGATATAACAAACCAAAGAGATTTTAAAATTTTTTGAACAGGTAATGGATGATCTTTTGATGAAATACCTACAACATGAAAACATCAATATTTTCATCAAACAGTTCGAATAAAGGATCACCATGTTTACGAATGTCATAGTTTAAATAGCACGTAATAAATTCCACTAAGTTGTAATTTTGATAAAAGCAACCAAATTTATTATTAATATTCAATGTTGGATTACATTCACCATGTACAATTGCTTGATAAAATCCTAATACTATTCCTGTTCCACAACCTAAAACAAGAATACTCATATATGAAAAATTTAGGTCGATCTTTTTATTTCTACCAATATCGTCCGAATGGTTTCTATTTACCCCAAATCGTGGTTTCCTGAATTCATCCCTCAATTGCATCCACATTTGTGAATAATTAAACAATTAGGGTCAATAGTGGTGACCAAGTAGAAATATTAATTTAGGGATTTTTTTTATATGAAATATGCTGCACATCGCTTAATTCAATATCATCTTGCTTCGATTGATTATCATTTACCACAAATTGCTGTTCTTTAAAGTCATCTCTAAATCATATTCACATTTAGTTGGCTATCATTTATCACAAATTTTGGTTCCCTGATTTATCTCCAAATCATACTCATATTTGTGAATAATTAAACAATTATGATCAACACTGGTGATCCGATAGGGAGTTTTTAATTTATAAATCTTTTAAATATCAAATATGCCATACATAGTATAATCCAATGGTAGGTTATCATTTCCCACAAATGGTGATTTCCTGAATCGATTCCTAAATCAGGTCCACATTTGTGGACTATCAAACAATTCAAGTTAATTGTGGTGACCAAGTAGGGACTTTTCATTTGAAAGCTTTTTGCTGTAAAACATTACACATGGGTCTCTCATAGTCAACATCATTATAAGTCGGTTCTTTTTACGACCTGGTGCAATGATTAATTTCTAGTTTTCCGAATAGGTACTAGTGACCAGTTTTTGTTAAAATAACGATATCTGGTGACCAAATTTGTAAAAACACCTGAGTCTAATGATTACTTCTTCTTGAAAGAACTGTAACTGGTCACCAGACCTAGTCGTTTTAAGAAAAAATAGTTCCTAGTTATAGTTCTTCGAAAAGGATCTGGTCACCAGCTCGATTTATTTCAGTACGATCTGGTCACCATATACAATTCTTTCAAGAGAAATAGGTCACTAGCTCCAGTATTATAATATAATCTGGTTACCAGATCCAATTCTTTTAAGAAGGCTAGTCACCAATTATCGTTCTTCTAAACGAAAGTAGTCATCAGACCCAGTTCTTTTTACAAATTTGGTCACCAGATATTGTTATTTTAACAAAAACTGGTCACTAGTACCTATTCGGAAAACTAGAAATTAATCATTGCACCAGGTCGTAAAAAGAACCGACTTATAATGATGTTGACTATGAGAGACCCATGTGTAATGCTTTACAGCAAAAAGCTTTCAAATGAAAAGTCCCTACTTGGTCACCACAATTAACTTGAATTATTTGATAGTCCACAAATGTGGACCTGATTTAGGAATCGATTCAGGAAATCACCATTTGTGGGAAATGATAACCTACCATTGGATTATACTATGTATGGCATATCTGATATTTAATAGATTTATAAATTAAAAACTCCCTATCGGGTCACCAGTGTTGATCATAATTGTTGAATTATTCACAAATATGAGTATGATTTAGAGATAAATCAGGGAACCAAAATTTGTGATAAATGATAGCCAACTAAATGTGAATATGATTTAGAGATGACTTTAAAGAACAGCAATTTGTGGTAAATGATAATCAATCGAAGCAAGATGATATGATGGGTGTGGGTGTGGGGTGGACGTGGTTGTGAACGAGGAGAAAATCTACACCGACACCGACACCCACACTCCACACTCACCCACACCATATTCGCTGTTGCGTTGGCTATTTTAGACTATCGATACAGTGTTTACCAAAAGCCTTGGATTTGGGAGTTGTTTAGCATTTTTGAAAGAGATGGGAGCATGCAATCGGATTCTTAAGGTATGCATCCGATGGAATTCGTGGGAATTTATCTTGGCTTATGGTTTCACCGCCTGCTGCGCTGTTTCGGCGAATGTGGCAGTGGTTCCCAAAGTTGTCTGTTTTTATATGGGGTTTTTCGCCAGTATTTCCAGGTTTTCTATGTGATGATAGGTTCAATCGTAGATTTTAAGTAGTGATTCTGGTAGAGCTCCTCGAGATTTACGTTGCTCCACTGTTTTCGTTGTTTGATTTGCTATTTCGGCGAATCCATTCAGGAAATACTCGTTTTCTGAGACAAGATATGCTGCGTTGTAACGTGTTGAATATAGAAAAACAACATATCAGAAGAATGAAAACTGACTCTTTTTAAGTTCATTTTAGCCTTTTTGTTCGAACTTACTTTTTCTTTTGTCTTTTGATTTCAATACAATTTTTTCTCGTGTTCTTCGTTTTTTTGAAAATGGATTTTAGATTTATGTGAATCTACCTTTTATGTATTCTGGTTTTTAGAGTAGATTTTTAACAAGGAAGTTTTTGACATAGGTTGACTGTTATAACATGTTTTTACCTATGTTTGCGCAGTTAAAGTACATTTCAAACTTAAACTATGCTAAACCAAGAAGATTTTCAGTATCTATAGCTATAATCATGTATATCTCTCGAAGTCAATCACTGAAAATCTTTTGACACCGATTATAACCAAAGCAACACAAAGAAAAATAATCAATTAACTGTTTTAAATAAGAGCATAGATATGTTTTCTAGATGATTTATTCACTTTTCTTTAAACAAAGATTTATTTTTTTTACAAAAAACAAAGTAAAGATTAACATGCGATGAATGATGAATTTTTTTCTGCATATAAAAATGTTCTATAAGTATAATGATAAACAACCTTATGTATTATAGTTTTACTGCCCAATTTCAGGTATTCAGTACATTTATTTAATACACATTGTCGTTCAACATATGGATAAACGAATTTCAGTTTGGTACAATAGACAAAAAGAGCACGATTTCTCAACATTCTTTCATATTTATGAGAATATGGAAAAGCATAACAGCCCGTTTCAATGTATCTCATGTTGCGTGATTCAAAGTGAGCCATTGGTTCTCGAGGTGCGTATAACCATAATACTCCTAAAGGTCGAAGTATTAGAGGAAATACATCTTCAAGACGAACCGGACAACTTATCGGCTCTCCTAATAGCCAAACATGTGTTGCATTTTGATCATGATAAAATATATCGATAAAAGGAAAACGCCATGGTGCTTTACCAGCATGAGGACACCAGGAGAAAAATATCTTATCATAATTACGCTTATTATATAATTGCATTATAATAATTGAATAGGGCTCTGCTGAAAGTTCTCGAATAATAATTGATTGTAAACGATAACGATCCGAAACTGAAACACATAGATCAACATCATCATCCCATGGTAATATATCATGACGTGTATAACTACCTGAAATAAACCAGAACTATTAAACTATTATATTTTTTTTAAATTGTAGCTACCGAGTAGTGTAGCAGCCATCATCGTATATGAAATATTATATTTATTAAAAACATTTTCAATGAGTATTGATAAAAGATGCATATAAATAGCATGTTCACATGGCGTAATTGCACGAGGCATAAGTGAACTTGAACGCCATTGAGAGTATGAATATGGAATAGAGCCATTTTCAGGATGAATTCGAATAGAAGTCTTTGATGTTCGTTCAACATTGATATATTGATACATTTGACGACAAAATCGTGTGTATCGAGCATCTTCGGTAGCATTCGGAGGTACGTATTCATACAAAACAAAAGATTCGTTATGAATGATAATTGACAATGGACAAAAAATGCACAAAGTAACAATAATGAAAAAAAAATATTGATTTGATCGTCTAAAATGGCTAAAACGTATCATCATTAGTTCTCTCTCCCTTTTTCGATCTTCTATAGACTTATCGTTAATTAGAAATAACAAGTAACAGCTTGAATATTTTCAAACGTTCTTCAATGCTATGGATTGAATATAGAATAAATGAATGTGGTAAAACAAAGGATACGCTGACGACACCTGCATAAGTTTTATAGAATAGTAAAATATCCTTCATTCGTCATTTTGACTGCGTAGTGATCAATCGCACATTTTTCTTTCCTTCACTGTTAAATAAATGTATATCATTGTTCTATCATGCACATGATGTGTCTTCATATTTATACAAATTATCGATAATCCAGTCATTACATGACTAATTATCCTTCCTCCAAAAAACAAAATGATTCAGTCGAATTATCAACAAAACTGTTATTCTATTGATAATTTAAATGGCCAATCGTCTCACGTTTGTTCCAATTAACAGTGTCTTTATTCAACTTCACATTACCCATGTCCTGAAAAGCGCTAAAATATTGATGATCAATCGTGATATATCGAAATGATAGTTGTGAGCTGAAACACGATTAATCGCCGTTTTATTTGTGATATTTTTAACGATTATTACGATAAATCGCGATTTACTCATCAATTATTCTCAACGTTAGCTGTGATGTAAAGGATGAACTAATCTAATAAAACTGCGATTTATCAGCAATTTTACTTTTCTTCAATTGACTAGATCTATTCTTTTTTATTTCAAAGAATATCCATCGTTTATATCAAGTAACAAAAAAAAAACATTATAATGTAATATCTACGGGATTTTAACAAAGTTCAATTATAACGTAGAACAAACTAAATAAAAGAACTATAATAAATGCCATGGATACGTGTCAAAGACAGATGACAAAGAGATAACTGTAACGCTTCCGGTTGATTGGATTTCATACATGATACTTAACCTTCCCATATCACTCACTCGTATATTATACATTGTCCTTATCTTTCTATTCTTATGCTTCTGTCATTATCCTATTGTTCTCCTATATCGGCTCTCTTCTTGGTCTTATCTCCTCTCTTTTCATCCTCTCTTCTTCTACTTGCGTATATAAGTGTGTGCTATGTATGTAAATGATGCGATTATATGATATGAAGGAATAGAATAAAGTGTAATACCATCAGCACTAATACCCTTTCTATCAAAAATCGTCACAATAGCAGTCACCACTATCAAGTAAACTTCATGAAGTATGAATATGACATACTAATAGCACCAAACCCAATCTAATTGGGTTAGGAATACTAGCATAATTACAAGTGAAAGAAAAAAACAACAAAAAACTTACGTATATAAATATAACTAATAAAGAATACGAAAAATCACCAAAACTATTACAAAGAAATGCACACATTAGAAAGCAATATCATGAGTTTCAGATTTTTTCAATTGGTACAATCATTAGAATGATTCATTTATTCCTATTATTTGAGGACTTTGTCATGTAGATAATGTCGTGGTATTGATTGATTCTCAATAGTCGCTGTAACTTACAAGAAAAAAACATTTAAAAATATTTTATCATATATCTACAAAAAAATGGCATCGACTATGGTATTGTACCCTGAAAGTTAGATGTCTAAAAGATATTGCGAAAGAAAATAAAGCAATGCGACATAAAGTGATAATAATGTTGATAGTAGTCATTGATTCAATACTGACTATTATAGGAATTCGTACTATTTGAATGACTCTCATGCTATTTCTTACATTTCGAAAGACAGTTAATTGACACTTCTAGAATAGAACATGCATCACATTAAAATAGATATCGCGCGAAAGTAGACTTATGGGGCTGATACAAATGAATACAAAAAAAATGAGTGAAACGTTCATCATTTCTACGATTGTTCAATGAAGTGGATGCTCTGCGAGTGACATTAAAATTAGAAATAAGTTGCCTTGCATCATGTGAGAATTACGTTTCCTTCTTGAGAAATTTATATATTTAATGTGCATTTATATATATATATATGTATTAAAAGATTAATTATTTCAGAAGACACCAGTTCTCGACTGAAAAATTTGCGATTAATCACGATGAATCATTTCGATTTTGCAGTGATCTTCATGAGTCGATTCTTGTATCAATATCGCGACATAATCTGAGGGTTTGGATGTGGGTTGGTGGCTGCGGGGTGTCTGGGTGTGAGTGCCTCGTTCATCTACACCCGCATTCATCCATTCACACTCACACCCAAATCTATACCTACACTCTTTTGTGGAAAGCTATCGATGATATTCGATTCGATGGAACTTGACGAGATAATCACAATTGTCACCTTTATTTTGAGTTCAAACTGTAATACGGGTGGCTTGAAATGGGTTTCTGAGCACTAAGCTCGACTTTTTGGGCATCCTGTCAAATAGCCTAAAAGCACTTTCATCAGTTTTCGCTAATAGCTTAACTAGGATATGCATGTAGGAGGATCCAGCACAATTTGAGCACAACCGGATGTCATCCCTTTGTGGCGTTTAGAATATACGACATGATACGGTTTTCCACTGGTTTTCCGTTAAAAATCAACGAAAAACTTATTGAAAAGCTATGAAATACGTAATAACTGATTCAACATCCCTTTTTTTTATAATTTTTCGAGTACTAATACTTTTCTTATATAAATGCTAAGCCACTATTCTTGAGTTTCGCAACAATAATGGAATGAGAAAATAGTATCCTTTTTCTATCTGCGTTGTCGTTCCCAGTATTGTTAGAAAATTTCTTAGAAAGCTGAAAAAAGTTCATTTACTGTAATTTTCTTTTTTTATCGAATCCACACAATACTTTTCGGAATTTTATTGAAGATGTTCAGCCGTTATACTGCTACTTTTCTGCTTGCTCTTTTAAATTATTGATCCTCATAGTAGTGCGTTACTATACGGGCTATCCAAATTGATTGATGCAATTTTATTTTCCTCTTCCATTAATTAGTTATGTTTGTCTTGATCGTTACCTTTATCAAAAAAATGAAATCTAGATTACTTTGGTACTCTTAGTTTCACCAGATCAATATATTTACTGTTTCTTTTTTTAAAAGAGAAACGAAGAAAGCTGACGTAAGTTAGTATATTTCCTTTTTATGCTTTACTTATTTCATAGTTTACGAAGATTTTGTAGAAGAAACAAGGTGGAAAAACATGCTTTATTTTTCCACTTGTTTTTTATGACTATCGTTCTTCATTTTTCTTGGAAAAAACAACACGAAAGTGGAGAAACGTACTTTTGTTTACCTATTTTTTATTTTGATTATTTCAATGGTTTGCGATGATTTTATAGAAGAAACAATATAAAAAGAACTAATTTTCTTTTCTATTGTTTCAGTTGGTTATATCGAGTATTGCGCGTCATTTTTCTGAGAAAAATTTAACAGGTTAGTTTTGTTTGATTTTTCTTTCATTATTGAATTATTCTGTAAATGATCGCATGTTTAAAAAAAAGGAAACTATCGCATTACTTAGCTCGATGTCTTTTCCCTAAAAACTGTTCCTAAACTGGAGTGGATGTTGACTTGGGTGAGTATTTATCCCACACCCACAACCATAAATAGAGTGCATTCGTAGGAATATTCGGTAGAAGTTTGAGTTGGATCAAACGTTGTCCCTTTCTACCGTTCTGAACATAATAAACGGTATGGCTTTGGGCCAGTTTTACCCTTTAAAATGAACCGAAAGCTTCGTGAAAAGTTTTCATGTACCTATGATTCGATGCAACTTGACAAGCTGATTCTGAATATCATTTTGGTTTTTCTTCACAAGTTAATATCGGTGCCTGAAATTCCATCTCCCACGACAAGCCTTGATCTTTTGCACAGCCTGTGAAATTGGCTAGGAAAGGTCTTATGAGTTTTGGCTATCACTATAAATAGGATACATGTCTCCGAGTATTCGGTAAGAATTTGAGCTCATTCGCACGTTATCCATGTGTAGCATTGAGAATATACGAACCGGTGTGGTTTTGGGTCGGGTTTAGCGTTAAAAGTGAACTGAAATTTTCTTGAAGACCCATTTAATACATATGATTCAATCTGGCTAGAAGAGCTGATTTCCAATATCGCTTTGACTTTTGTTCACAGTGTAACATGAGTTTCTCAAACCGAACCTCCGGTCTCAAACATCTGGTTTTTGGGTACTCTGTCAAATAGTCTAGAAATGATTTGATTACTTTCCGCTGCTACCGTAAGTAGAATGCATACCGAGGAGCATCTGGTTGAAAATTATAGCTCAATCAGATATTATCCCTTTGCAGCGTTAAGGATATACGGAACGATATGGTTTCGGGCGGGTTTATCGTTAAAGGCGAACCAAAACTGCTTGAAAGCTATTCAATTTGTATGGTTGCATCCAATTTCACGAGCTCATTGCGACTACTAAGTTGGTTTTCCTTCAAAGTATAAGAAAGGTGACTAAAATCGGATCCCCAACCAAAAACGTTGAGCTTTGCACACCCTGTGAAATAATCTACGAAAGATTGCATGAGTTTTGGGTAGCACCATCAGGAGGATTTATATGTATGAGTATCTGGTGAAAATTTCAGCTCGATCGAATATCATCCCTTTCTAGCTTACAGAATATACGGAACCCTATGATTCTGATCCGGTTCTACCGGTTTGGAATGAACTGAAAAATTGTTGAAAAGCTATTGCATATGTGCGACTTGATGCAACTGGACAAGATGATTCTGAAAATCAAGTAAGTTTTCCTTCAAAGAGTAAGAAAGGTGACTAAAATAGGATACTCGCCCAGCTACTTTGGGCTTTTGTAGACTCTTTGAAGTAACCTAGGAAAGCCTTTAGGAATTTTCGCTACTACCATA